TGAAGAAATGCAGCATTGCATCACTTGCTCGGCAGTGAATGGGTGCCGTGAGAATGAGAGTCCAAACAGCTGATCAAAACATCACAGTTGTGATGTTTTTATCAGCTGTTTGGACTCTCATTCTCACGGCACCCATCAGCAAGTGATGTAACACTAAAACTCATCTGCAGTACATCTTGGATGGTCTGGGGGTAGATTTTCATTTTTGGATGAACTATTCCTTTAATGTATGGCCGTTAATAGCTGGTGTAAATGGGGTTTCTCTCTTTCTCAAAACACGGTTCTCCTCGGATTCCCTCACATTTCTTCACTCTCTCTGCCCTGGCTTTAAATAAGGAATGTTAATGCAGTGTTTAGTCTTGTTCTGCAGAGTCACTGTGAATTATTCATGTTCGCCTGACTCATCCCTGTGTGTGTGTGTGTGTGTTTGCAGGTCCTCAGGAAGGCCGTCTATGATCAGTTGAATCAGATTCTGTTTTCTGATGCTGCTCTTCCTGAAAGTCTCATCATGATCAATGGCACAGACTGGCAAGGACAGGTACACAAGACTGTGTGTGTGTGTGTGTGTGTGTGTGTGTGTGTGTGTGTGTGTCTCTATGTGTGTGTGTGTGTGTGTGTGTGTGTGTTTGTGGCTTGTTTGTGTGTGTGTGTGTGTGTGTCTCTGCGTGTGCGTGTCTGTGTGCGTGTGCGTCTGTGTCCATGTGTGTGTGTGTGTGTGTGTGTGTGTGAGACTGAAGCAGACTGTCCTAATGGCTGTGTTGTGTATTTTTTACCACGGTTAAGTGCTGTTTTTAGATGTAGTGCAATGTGGGAATTTGACCATAATGCACAACCTCACATGGCTTATAACCAATGTTCCCTCTAATTTTTTTCTTGCTGAGCAAAACTTTTCTCTATTGGGTGGACATTTCGGCCACCTGAGCAAAAACATTCTTTATCCCAGACCTGTACAGCGCACACACAAAAAAGTGTGTAACTTTTAACTTTAAATTAATGTGCTATTTGTATTTAATTT